TTTTTTTATAATACTTGTTGTCTTGGCTTCCCTGGACAAGACAATCAATCAATCTGCTGTACAATTAAAACATCCAAATTATAACGTTAAAAAAACTATTACTTTTGAAATATATCTAACTGTAACTATGACTTGTCAAAATGACATTGTATGTATCTGAAACTGGAGTTCCAGATTAATTCCAATTCAGTCGCACATATCCATAAATCACTAGCGGCACTAGGCTCGCTGCAATTGAATCGTAGACTAAAGAGACGTCATTTCTCCCGAGAAAAATGACATTGCCTATTTGAACTGCATTGAATGAAAAGTTAGATTATTCAAAATATTAATTACGACTCGACGGAAAGATGTTATTTATGATGCTAAACCCGGACAGTAAAATTTAGTTGATACACGTTGAATCGTCTTGTCATATTTCAGTTCACTGAATACGCAAGTGGGTGTTTCACGTGACGCGCACGACATCTATAAACCATCAGATTGTATTTTTAGCAAACTGGTTGCGAGAGCGCTTCCACGGCGTCACGTGACTTGTGCTAACTCAACTGAATACTGGCATGATAGAGCAGAATGGAACAGAATTTGGCCAGATTGCACAGGCGGTTGCGCATTCTACCTTTCCTATTCTGTTAACTGTAAATTAAGATTGTGGTAACATGAAATTACACCCAGGTTTGCGACACGTTTGGGGTTTGCTGCCAGGTTCCATCGTACAGGACTCTCAACTTCCTTCCTTTCGTGAATTAATGGTGTGTTTCACATGATCCACGCTAGCCTTGTATCTCGGGGGAAACATGGTAGTTAATTACTACGTTCAGTTTTGCGAGTTAAATAGTTAGTTGCCTCTGTGGCTAATAATATAATATCGTAGAACATGTGAAAACAGACGTAGATATGAACAATAGCGTATTTTCATTGCGTTTGGCTAATTGTTTCTGAAAGTACAATCAAATCACTGTACCAGGGTTAATATGCATGTACATTCCTCTGTAAAAGTTAGCGTCTGTTGTTTCACTTTCGGGTACATTACATAAATTATTATAACATTATTGCATTCGAACTAACGCACGCTCCATAAATAGGAATGTTTCTTCCCCGAGTGTATATATTGTTTAATATCTGCGAATGTAATGTTAGCTACCCGGAGTGTAACGGCTCGCACGAAGGTGCTCAATAGGCCAGTCCAGTCCTCGGGCTCACCAGTTGGTCATGTCCAGAAAGAAGGCGCATCCGGCGGGGTTAAGCTGAAAACCGAGCAGCCTCTGGAACTCCGAGATGAGGATGTCTTTGTCGGTTGTGCCCATGCAGCTAAATTTCTGCGTGAGTTCCTGGTCTACGTCCAGGTCCATTCCTTCCATCGTCACTTGGCCTCCTGAAAATGATTTTTTTTACAAAGGAAACCCCTAATAAAGATGAAGGCCTGCGCTTGTCATAACAAACTGTGAACAACAGCGCCCAGTGCGCATGTCACAACCACAACGCTCACCCATGACACCGCCGAGGCCATGTGACTGTCAAATTCAACGTACGCACGCAAAAAATAAAATAAAATAAAATAAAGTAAAAACATGCACAGGCATACATAAGTGCACACTGACAGGATTCTACTTTAAAACGTTTTGTTTAAAGCCACTCACTTTTCAAATGAGCAAAAGTATTGGGACCCACATTATCAAATTAAATTAAAGTGAATAACATTTAATATTTGGTGGCACAACCCGTACTTGGAAAAACTGCATCAAGTTTGTGACCCACTGACTTCATCACTGTTCTTCATTTGAATGCCTTTCCAGGACTTGACTGAGTCTCTTTCTTTTTCTTTCCCCCCTTCTCCCTCACTAGGTTTGTACACATACAGTTGAGACTTCGTCTCGTGCAGAGGCCACCAACGTGGTGACCGCGGGCACCAGATAGCCCCCAGGCCTGTTCTAAAAATGGCTCACTGATGAAGTGATCATTTAAAAATGTTACAATTTACAAAGATTTATAGAGATAAAGTGTTGCATATTGATATCTAGGTGTTTCCCATCATGTTAAATCATTGTAGATAATGAGAGAATAAAGCATATGATCTTAACATACATAAATATAATTAATTAATTAATAACATCTAATTCCAGATGTGTTTCTCAACTCTATTACAATCGAATAATTTTTGTGCAGGATATTATTTCTATCGTTTTAGTAGTTAAATTAACCGCTTCCCACCACGACACCCATGCTTCCGGGTTTAACCTAATACCGTATTTACTTGTACTGTCCGACAGATAGCGCTATTGCATTTTCAGTGCGGTTCGTACGAGCGTGTGTGTGTGTGTGTGTGTTGGTGTGTGTGTGTGTGTGTGTGTGTGTGTTACATGAAAGGCATCGCTACGAAAGGA